CTACGTTTCAGACTTGAAAGACATATACAGTCGAAACGCCGTAGATAAAAATAAATTAATAAACAAAATCCAGTAACATCTTTACAACCCCAACCACCTAAAGACCAGGCTACAGAGCGGTCAAGGCCTTTGAAATGCTCCCAGCAAATATTAGGGCTGTAGGTAGCGATTACCACTTTAGGGGGTCGGTGTTGGAATTTTTATACGCACGCGGTTTTTACAGCTTTAACTTTGAATTTTAATTATGTCCTTTGTCTGAATATTGTTAAATTTTTATTATTGTTATATTTGTGTATTTATTACTATGTTTTAATGTTCTAAGGTAATATACTCTGTAATGGGATAATATACTCTGTTCTGTGACGTTGCTTTGTGATCGGGAAGATCATTTTGTAGGCAATAAAGTATTTGTATTTGTATTTGTAAAGCCAAGAATAAAAAGAAAAAAAATAAAGTAAAAATATACCGGGGGTGCCATTTAAAAATCAAGAGTTGTAGTCATTTCCGGTGAAACAGGAGGTGACCACAAACAATTGAATACGTGAATCAGTACTAATTTATGTCATATATTTACTAATATACCAAATCTCGTTTTTTATTTAAAAAAAAGGTTATAGGAGTGAGCCACTTTTGAGAGGCACCCGTTATATAAATGCCATAAAAAATAATTTCAGAAAATGTCAGACCATCGACAATGAATTCAATACCCTATGGATTCACAATATACATATTTTAAAATAAATTGATTTTCTATTTTATAGAAAAAAAATGTTTTAGGCAGTTAGGTTGCAGTTGAAAAAGTTCAGTTCTTGAAACTGACAATTTTTTTTATTATTATATACGGGAAAGTAAAGAAAAATATTGTAATATGAGATTTATCTTGTTTTATGTATATCTAGCAAAATAAAACACTAAATCACCACAACTACTTTATGTATATCTTATGTATATCACTAATTTATGTATATCTAATAAAAATATATGTGTTTTTTTAATTTACGCCATGTTAGTTATCCTGCGATGTATACCAAAATTATTTTTTTCCATATATTCTTTTATATACGTATATTTATAATAATTCAATAACAATAATTGTGTTCCTATTTGTTTCAAACTTTTTGGCACACACTGTAAACATAATTTATAAACTGAGTTGGTAGCAAATGTTGAATTTCTTATTTGTTTTGAGGTATTTTTTTCCTTCACTTATTTACATATTTACGTGTATAATGCCGCTGCTAATTGTTTATTTTAGGTACCAGTATAAAATAAATTACTTTTGTTCATTTAAAAATGTGCTAAATAACGTTATTAGATTAGTTTCAGTTAACCTGAAAATTTACAAATTTATGTCAAACCAACTTTTTTTGTAACTTATGTCATTGGGCATGAATACTTATACCTACATATATTGTAGTACATATTGTTGGTATTGTTGCAATTTAAAGAATTTATACAGGGTGTCCGAATATTTCGTGGACATAGACCTACAATACTACATATTTATGGAATCAAAATAAGTTCATTGGACATAACTTATCCCGTTATACCGATTTGAATGTGATTTTGAGTGTCTATATTTTGCTAACTGCTTTAACATTTGACCATAGATAAATGAAACAAGTTTAGATTGGAAAGTGCCAATAAGGACAATGTAAACACTATTTGGCGCTATTCTTGCAACGGTCGCGACCCAAAACTTTTGAAAATTTCGGAGCGGTTCGGCTTTTTCCGGAATTATATCGCCAAATATTGTTTATTCAAATTTATTAATATTTTCGTTTAATTTTATAAATAAAATACAGTGTGTTGCATACAAGAAACTTTATTTTATATAAGGACGCATGTATGAAATACCTACGAAACATTGGAAACCGACGGCGACGTTATGCCACGATCCACGATGGTTTTTGCAGTTCACAGTTCACAGCACAGCTTTTTAAGTTTTTAATGCCACTTTTTCACAATTATCACCAGTTGGAGTAAATAAAACTTGAATTAAACTCACAAGATAGCAATAATTATTTTGAAAATGGACGCTATAAACACTTTTCGGAATTTCTTTAATGAGAGCGGTTTAGATTTTGAAAGATTGTTATGATTTTTGAAGATTCTGACTTTGACAAGAGAAAATTATTTCTGTTTTTGTTTGCCGTTGTTCTTAGCGACCGCCAGGGGCGGGAAAGTGAAATAGCAAAAGCGGTTCCACCGTTTCCACGGAAATCTCAAATAAAATAGTTCCCCTAGCCACTAGGTTGTAGTGCAATTAATTTTTAGGTAAAGTCCCTAGATATATAAAGTACCGCAATTGGTTTGTTCAATGTTATTGGCGCCAAAATGGCGGATTTTTGGGGTATTTCTGGAAAAAATGTAGTGGTAGGACTGTTTAAGTGTCACATTTGTCTTGCCGGCCTTCAAATTTAAGTTTGTAGCTTATTCATAGTTCCAGAGACTTGCGTTTTCATGCTTATTTGTCAAAACTAACTACAGCATAACTGGTATAATAGGGAAAGTTTACTTATGGTATAGGTATCCCGTTCTCATCAACAAAGTTTTTCCAATTGTTTCGACTGAATTAAGTACTAAAATGCTAAATGTTATTCCAACTTTATTTCTTCTTACCTATTAACTTACTTCTGTTGGCGTACTTTGCGCTAAAAGGTAACATAATTAAATGCTAATACAAATGAAAAACACATATACGGAAACCATTCGTTTATAACCTCTTAACATAATATATAGGCCTAAAAAATTAAATTTATGAAATTGAATATTAATATACCACCTGATATTACGTTAAAATGAAGGTAAACTGTAGATAATAAACGTAATTCTATTACAATTAATAAATATTTTATTTTACGGCTTGCCTGTCAATGTTGGTCGGCCATATTGGCGCCGGACCGACCAGCTGCTTAAAAAGCCGAAACAGCGAAATGTTGGCCTCCTTTTTAAATTTGCCGCTAGTTTTGGCGCCAATATGGCGGTAATTGCGGTACTTTATATATCTAGGGACTTTATTTTTAGGTTAAGAAGTTGCTACTAGTTATTGCCAGATGGCGTTAAATCAGAATTTTTTTGTAGTTTCCATAGTTTCCAACGGCCATTGTCATATTATTGTCAAATTCTCAAAAAATATTGTCGTTGTCATAGCGCCAATTTGGCGCCAATCATAATATTATCAAATAACTGATTATCAAAATGTTTTTCGAACTATAATTTGTTATATGTGTTTTAATTAGACAATTCCTTTTGTTTGTGGCCCTAAAAATATAATGTAAGTCTTTTATTTTTGCCATCATGTAAGTACCTATTTCTATATTTACTCCGTTTACAAAACTTTGGGCGTATTACGCGTTGGTCTTGTTTTATTATAATAAACGATGTTTAGATATTTGACTTATAAATAAAAACTTTAAATAATAAATAATATTTCACATGTTTGGCTTTAATTTTATTTAATAATTGTATAAATTATACTGTTAAATTTTTTTACACATCACAACGATACTTGTTATTAGTATTGTTCAATTTGTGTAAAAAATAAATGTAATAATCAAATTTAATTATTTTAGAGTAAAATTCAATAAATACGCTCATTTAAAAAGCCCGCGCTTCGATCCATTTAAAACAAGCTCTACTCAATAGATGGCGCCACTTCTGTAGGACCATTTTTCAGTATGGCAGAGTCCATTCTCTTTCTAGCTAGGTATATTCTTTGGCGACCGCTATAGCAGCGTCAGATCGCGTATAACGGACGCGATCCAAAATAATTTTGCGACCTAAATTTTTTACAGACTTTCCAATCTAAACTTGTTGCATTTATCTATGCATTTGACTATCACAAAATCAAGAAAAAGTACGGGAAGGGTGAAAACTACCCCCACTCCGACATAAAATTTAGTATAAATATTTTCCAACTCAACCGACGACCTATTTTTTTTTCGTAAAATGGCCCTTCTATTATTTATTACATTGCTTGTCTCTTGTGAAAAAACGCCACCTCGCTTAGTTCCTGAGAAAAAAAATATTTTTTCGAAGCTGACTTCCAAAAAATGTATTTTGTAACATGAAGCAATGGAAGCTTATAAAATCTATTCTGCTCTAATAATCTAGTTGGCGAAAATAGGGAATTTTATGTTAGTATCACAAATTATATTTGACAATAAGCTTCATAAAAGGCTGAAAAAAATAACAATTTTTAAAAATAATTAACGTTCAGCTTTATTTTTGATTGATGCCCTCTAAGGGAAAAACGAAACAATTATTTTGTTAAAAGGCAAATTATGTGTAATTAACTTATTTTGATTAAAAAAATACGTAGTTGTTCTATGGCCACGAAATATTGAAACTCTCTGTATATTCTGTAGGCCTGCTTTGGAAAAATTAATCCTCCAAAAAATGTTTTCTCAAAAACTATGCGATGTGGCGTTTTTTAACAAGAGACAAAAAATGTTGTAAATACTAGAGGGACCATTTTACGAAAATAAAATCTGTCGGTGGAGTTGGAAAACATTTATACTAAAATTTATGTAGGAGTGTAATTTGCACCCTTCCCGTACTTTTCTGATTTTCCTGAAAGTCAAACGTTAAAGCCCTTAGCAAAACATCAGAATAACGGTTCTTAAAATATCTGAAAAAATGTGTTTATTTTTTTTTAAATTTGATGCCCTCTAGCGGACAAACGAAGAACTTTCGTATAGAGGTAAATTGTCTTCAATGAACTCGATTCCAGAAATTTGTAATAGTTCTATGTCCACGGAATATTGGGACACCCATTATATATTATATACCATAAAGTAATAATAATATAAATAGTATAAAACTAATATCTATTAATAATTCGAATAAACTAAGAATAAATATACCTTCCTGTAAAGTAGTTATTGTTTTTTAATAATTAATATATTGGGTTTGCCAATTTAGATTAATACCAATTATTAACAATCTGTCATAAACATTTTAAAATTTTATACATATAAATTACTGACCATACATACTTTTAATGTAGTGCAAGATGTCCTAGTACTCTCCTCATTTTGATTATTGCCATTTATTAATGGAGTGCTCTGTAATAAATAACTCGAATCAATAATTTTAAATCTATTATTTTCAATCTCTTGTGTTAGAAACAAAAAAATAATGAAAAAAAGAAATTCTATATATTCCTATTAAATTGTTATTTTCTTACCATATAGTATAAACTATTTCGATGGTTTCCATTTGTCTCTGAATTTATCTTTGATTGTAGAGGCTCAGCATATATAGGTTCATTTACCATATCCACAAAAAAAGAGGAGCTGGGCTGACTAACTCTTTCATATGCCCCGTTGCCACATGCAAATGAGTTAAAACAATTAAATTCACCAAGAAGTGAATTCTGTTGAGTATCATTGTCACTAGAATTTAATGACATTTGATGAGTCCCAGGGAGCTTTGGCAATTCTCTAGACTTGCTTTGAAACAATAAGCTATCATCACTATCTTCCCCAGATGTGGTTGAAACATCTATTTTTTGACGATTTTTTGATCTTAGTTTATTATTTTTCAATGCTGTTTCCAACTTATTAAGCATATATTTTGCATCACCCTTCTTTCCACTTTTTCCCTCCTTTGTTCTATCTGTGTCTTGAGCTAAATGTAAAAATGATGAATTCTTTTGTAAGCTATTCGTTATAACTTCAATCGGATGTTTAAATATCCTTGGAGGCTTTTTAGGAGCAGGCCCTCCAGGGAGTGGTTTGCTAAGAGCTAATTTTAAAGTATCTGTTAAATCACCATGTGAGTCTTGTAATATTTGTTTCAGTGAATCAATAAATTCCTTTTTGTTAGAGTCTGTCAATTGCAGTGTGCTTTTTGAATAAATATTATCAATTGAATGTAAATGTGATTTGGTATCAGATGTGGAAATATTTGAATTTTGATGGCGTAATGCTTTAGGTATAGGCTCTGTATACAAAAGAGACAAATCAACATCATTTAATAAAGCTTCTTCTTTGCCATTTATATTTTTATAACTGTTTTCCTTTCCATTTGTTTTAGTGTTAGTGATATGAGATTTCTTTAATACTTCAGAGTTTTTAATATAATTTTCTGATGAAGATACTCTGCTATCAAATTTACTTCTAATGTAGTGAAAATCATGGGAACTTTTAGATTTTATTAAGGAAGGTCTTTTAGAAGCTGGTGTAATACTTCTTATATTAGATTTTTCAGTCTTATAGTCTTGTTTAGTAATATTCAAATTATTATCTAAGCTGCTATTTGTACAATTTAAAAAGTCTTTTTTGGACAGTCCTAAGTTATTGCAAATATCTAAATTACCATTAGTTTCAATACTAATATGCTTGTCTATGCTTTTATCCGCTTTCTCCGAGCTCTTTGCACTATTAAATTGTTTAATTTTTGTTTCAAATAGTTTATTTGTAGTACAATCATTTTTCTTAACTGTAAATCCATTTTCCAAATTCTTGTCCACTCGAAAAGCAGGCGTCCGTTTTATATTTCTTTTAGAAGGATCAGACAATTGTCGACTCAAAGATTGATGTACAGGTCGACTGGATCCAGCTATATTCTGTAAATTTGTATATGGAATTTCTTTCAGTTTTTTGCTTTCAGTTAGGGATGAATTGACTAAGTTATTACTAGCTGGTTTAGTTTTGCAAGAATACTGCTCATTTTTGTTATTTATATTTTCAAATTTGCTTTTAATTGATTTGACTCTATTGCTATTTTGAGGAGGTTTATACATTATAAATTATGGCAAGCAATGGCTTTAAAATATTACATGTTCTCTATTAGGCGGAAGTATGTCGGCAAAGCAACAAGTTGTTTGTTAAGCTGTAAATAAAAACAGAAGTTATTTACTTTCAAAAAAAGCACACTAAGCTTCTATTCAAACATTGATTAAAAGCAAACTTACCATTTTCAATAGCGGGTTTAATCCTTGTTTGCTTGAGTGGTTGGATTAATCACACTATTCTACGATCAAAAAAATTTAAATTATAGCAGTTATTAGATAAACAATAAAATAAACGGCCAGCTTCTTACTGGAATCGTAGTTGTTCTCATTTCTTATTATTTTGACGTTTCTGTTCCTGGGTTAGTAACCTTGAATTCAAATAAACTACTTGGATCTGTAAAAAAGACCTAATCCGAGTTTGTATGTTAAGTTGCCTATAGTTTACTCATTTTTTAGAAAAGCTTAATTTAAAGCTGAGGAATAAATTAATAATGTATTTTAGTATGAATGTCTAATAATATGCATAATTACTATTATTGTGTTTAGAAGAAAATTATTCATTAATATTTAGATATTTTCAGTATTTCGTGTAAGCTGATAAATGGAAATTACCTTTTTAATTTTATATTCTGGGCACTTTCTTCAACATACAGTTACATGTCATTATTTGAATTTTGATATCCATTGCATTAAGGTGTCTAATATTTCAATAATAATCTTGAATTCTATTTTCTTTTTCTAAACCGTTTTATTTTGTAGAGGATGTTAAATTATATACAATAATTTTAATTTTTTTTATTAATTACCCTAATCGCAATTTTCCAATTCTGTTTGATAATAAAAGACATAATTATACCATTTTCTTAATAATTTAAATCTTTAGAGTCTAGGAGTCTTAAGGCCTCTTTTTAACTTTATTTTCGCGGTAGTGTTTAACTTCAGGTTTTTAAGATATTCATGAAGATGTTTGATTAGTTTTTGGTACTTTATTCTGTATTTCAAATAACAACTAGGTGATACCTACAACTCGAATATTCCTTTTCGAGGAAAAAGTGTAAATTCTGCAAATCAGCAAAACTTTCTTTTTTCCATCCGGAAAAACAGAGTACCTACCTACAAGTTTTATTAATGTACTATCGCACCGCATTTGTAGTCTGAAAGCAGAATTAAATGAACGGTTTAGGCATTTGTTCACCATTTTTAAACATACATTTGTATAGACGCTGTGTGGATTCTTTTAAGAGCTAGTGGAGAAATATATTAAACATATTCACAGATTTGTAGTTACAATACTTTTTGAAAAAGATGCAGTATATACAATCTATTAAATTGATAATTATTGTATATGTAACAATTGGCGGTAAGTAATTTTTTCCATATTTTTGCACTGCTAAATATAAGAGTTAAAGTTTTATATTTTATATCTGATGTATACTTTTATAAACAATTTCTTAATTTCATTTTTCGTTAGTTTATGATTGTTGGTTTATAATTGTTTGTGTATGTTTTTCCGCTGTTATTTCTTATTCTCTTCTTTTTCTTTGTTGTAATCCATATTAAATTCTTTTTTAGGATATGCTCAAATTACATTACCTGGTGAACCAGTAAAAGACGCGTTATTTTTACATGGATTTGTTCAGAGCAATAATACTTTAAGAGATTGTGTATTTAGACCTGCAAACGCCAAAGATATGTGTCCTGATCCAGATATAAGGTTTAGTGTTATTAATTGTTACTAAAATTAATAATTAAATTCTATCTTTACACATTGTATTTATTCTATTTACAGATATATTTTATATACCAATGGAAAAAAAGAAGTAGTGGACCAGACCCAATCGGATTGGTTAAGGCAAAGTATTTGGGACCCTCTCAAAGAGAATATGTTTCTGATTCATGGATATGCTGGTGGAGATGATACATTACCTATAAATGTATTAAGGGATGGTAAGATCATTATTTTTTAGCTATAAAGAAAACTTATTAATTTGTGGCTTTTTTATATTATCGAATCTAGATCATATTAAAATTTTGCCACAATAATAGTAATCATCTGTGTGTCCATGATGTAAAATGTGTTTAATTTTTTTAAACTTTGATGGTCTTTAACGGATAAACGAAGCACTTTTGTATAGATATAAATTGTGTCCAATTAACTTATTTTAATTCAGAAAATACATAGTTCAATGGACAAGGAATATAGGGACACCCTGTATACTGTATTATTAACTATGTAGGTAATGTTATTGAGGGATGTTAATAATTAAAGATCAAAATTTTTGTTTTATAATTTTTATTCTTTTTATTTCTTATTCTCTTTTTTCTTCTTTGTAATCCATATTAAATGCTTTTTTAGGAAATGCTCAAATTACGTTACCTGGTGAACCAGTAAAATACGCGTTATTTTTACATGGCTTTGTATACTTATTATTTAACTTAATTAAACTATAGTCTGTCCTGTGAGAGAGTAAATCTTCATAACAAAAAAAAAATAATCAGAATATCGGACAACAACTGTCTCTGTCATGATATATATTTTTTAACAGAATAATATATATTTGGTGATTTATTAAGTATGTCTGAATTGACAAGACCATCTGTTTTTTTTACTAGTGCTTACACATGGAATGATCGTCTATGCCTCGAACCTGGTCTATACCAGGTGCGTCTTAAAAATGGCTCACCTCTATAACTTTTTTATTTTTTCAGATAAAACAACGAGATTTGGTATGTTTTTGATATGTTTCTATTTTTGATATGTTTAGTATGACATAAATTAGGATTGACTGACATATTCAGTTGTTTCGGTTTCACCGGAAATGAATACAACTTTTGGTTTTTAAATGGCACTCTCGGTATCTTTACTTTATTCGATAGAAAATGACACTCTGGTTGGTTTACCTCAAATGGTTTATTTGAAATTGTAACATGCGGTTCATAACGACAATTTGAGTCGAAATACCAAGTGTTTGGTATCAAATTATTCGTTAATTTTTTTTTCCAAATATGGATGAGCCACACTTGTTTTCATTTGAAAAAGTTGAGATATTATTAAAAATACGATTTAGGCATCATTTAATCGGCCAGGACAAGACACTAAAACATTAGACGATCAAGGCTATATTTCGAAGGCTCCTTGTTTAAAAAATAGTGTTTTTAACACAGCCATGGCACTCTAGGTTAAAATTTAAAATACAATTTGTTTTTGAGCGAATATGTCAAAAGTTGACATATATGATATGTCATTCTATTCAGAGTGTCATTTTCTATCGAAATAAAGTAAAAAATACTAAGGGTGCCATTTAAACATCAGAAGTTAAAGTAATTTCCGGTGAAACAGGAAGTGACCGAAAACAATTGAATACGTCAATCAATCCTAATTTATGTCATATACTAACATACCAAATCTCATTTTTTTTATCTGAAAAAATAAAAAATTATAGGGGTGAGTTTTTTGAGACGCATCTGGTATAGAAGACAGGCTTATATACAGAAGTTGTAGCTAGTAACTGGTTACACTCATTATATTATTCTTTTTAATTGTCGATGTCAAAGCCCGCTTGGAAATAAACTTCTTTCAGCTAGCGGTTTCTTTAAAAAAATCTGAGAATTTTCAGTTCAAAATTAAAATAAGTTCTCACTATGCATCTGGGAATGGTTATTTGTTTTTATCGGCAATTTGCTTGAAGTAACTTTTTAACAATTTCTTTTATCTTAAAGCTTATATTCAAAATGGTTCGTATAACGTTTGGATGGTCGACTGGGGCGCATTGGGTGAAACTCCATGTTATAGAGCGGCAGTACATAATATGAGAGCTGTAGGTCGGTGTACAGGCGAATTTATATCTTCCATGAGAAGTGCGGGTTTGCCCACTGACAGGCTAACATGCGTTGGACATTCACTAGGTAATGTATCTAATATTATATTAATTAGACACAGCATAATCTAATAAATATGTTTATTTATAAAAAATGTCACTGACGACTATCTTTTAATTTTGAAAGGCAAGTAGGGACGTATCATCAACTTTGCCGTTATTGCTGGACAAGTGAAAATGGCGGTGCTGCCAAAGGATTACCCAGAGGCTGCACTGACCACCAACCAGCAACGGGTCAAGAAGAGGCGATATTGGGCGAAGTAGCAGCGAGCGGATTGCAACACAACGATCTACAAAATGTGGGTTAGCTGTGATTGCGGGGATACATTTTCGGCTGAATATGCTCCTCATAGATTATGCATCTCCAGAATCGGCGGATTGGTTCGTGGAAACGGCACCTAAGCTTAAGAATTGGTAGTAGTGACACTGGTTGTAGTGAAGCAAGAAAACATCCCTAAAGAGGCGACCATCACGGTGTCTTTCTGCCCAGGAGCAAAGGGAAAGACACCATCTACCTGATGAGCCTTTATACAGGCTCAGAACTCCAATGTAAAGACACCGAGTTGGCGAGTCATCAACTCGAGGGAGGGTAGACATGGCTAGGCCTTCATAATAGGAATTGACCTCAAATCCAAGGAGGCAATAGAGAAAGAGAGATATATCCGGTATCAGCTCTAAGGAGAGAGGTTACCAAGTTAAAGAGGCTGAGAAAATGGAGACAGATCGTCGAGCCTCCACCTGATGGGTACCTTACCCGGCCCAGACAAGTTCTTCGACTGTGAAGGGCACGGTTGGAAACCTCAATTGTGGAAGGGTGTATACTGTAGGGGACAGATGTCCACTCCTCGGAGGAAGAACATCTCTTGTTAGAGGAGGATGAGAAATACCTTGTCCCCCCATTAACAGGGAAATCTCATGTATGATAAGGTACACTCAGAGTAGGAGTCATGATGAGTTATAGACGAAAGATATAGTATATAGACTGTATGATGAGTTACAACTATGGTTACAACTCAAGAAAGGAGGACAGGATAGATCGATATAGATAGGGCAGTTAACAAGGAAAAATAATAATTCAATATTAGTAATAGCCTTGTTTATAATCAAGGGTAATAATAGTTTAATGTGTCATTACAACATTATTATCGAATTTTTCAGAAGCGGTTTGCACTAGCAAATTAAAATTTAATATATTGATACCGTTGATGGCAATAACCCAGTCAAGTTTTTAGATTGCATGCTTCATTTATATATATATATATATATATATATATATATATATATATATATATATATATATATATATATATATATATATATATATATATATATATATATATATATATATATATATATATATATATATATATATATATATATATATATATATATATATATATATATATATATATATATATATATATATAAGACACATAGAAAAAATATTTAGGGTTTCCTAACAGTGAAAGGAAGTTCAATATCGTCGTCGATAACAAATATGGTAAATATTACAAATGAAGAAAAAGAAAAGTAGTAAATGTATATATATATATATATATATATATATATATATATATATATATATATATATATATATATATATATATATATATATATATATATATATATATATATATATATATATATATATATATATATATATATATATATATATATATATATATATATATATATATATATATATATATATATATATATATATATATACATTTTATTACTTTTCTTTTTTCTTCTTCATTTGTAATATTTTACCATATTTGTTATCGACGACGATATTGAACTTCCTTTCACTGTTAGGAAACCCTAAATCTTTTTTCTACATATAGTTTAGTCTGGTTATTTACAGGTTCCCATGTTTGCGGCTTAATATCGAAATACGTTCTGTTTCGAATGCATCGGATCATAGCTCTGGATCCAGCTAGACCCCTGATCACGCCCCAAGTTAAACTGAATATTGGAGACGCTGGAGCTGTCCATGTTCTGCACACCAATGCTGGCCATTATGGTGAAGGTGGACGAGGAGGTCACGTGGACTTTTGTATAAACGGAGGCAGAATTCAACCTTATTGCGAAAGTGGCGAAAGTAAGCAACTTAAAATGGAATTTTTATAAAATATCACTTTTAGCAAAAGGAACTCAATTTAAAATAAACACGTTAAAAAAGGAGAAAAAAATAAAGCTTGTAGCTGCTTCATAGTCATATCTATAATAAGTATCTACGTATTTGAAGTAGCAGTTGTGTTCAAAGGGGGCCTGCCTGTGTTTAAAATCTCTGATTAGCAATGAAAAGGAAATCCCTACCTCCTATTTGGCAACAGTGCAGGTGCTAATACCATGGAGGTAAAATCTACCCGCGATCCGCGATGAGCAATGCTGGTACAAAACAAGCGGTGAAACTTCCATTGATGCGGGTGATGCGTCGCATCCCTTCAAAAAATAAATTAAAATTGTCAGTAAATTTATTCAAGTAACTAAATTATATAGATAACGCCTAATACGTACGCTAAACGCTAAAAATAAAAATACTCGATTACGTCTCCCGTTCGCTGTTTTCTTCAGTGGGTGATGCGGTTTTTTAAACACATCTCGTTCGCTAAAAATATCGTCGTATAATAATATAGTATGACGCATTTTACAACAACAAACAAACAAAATATATTATTTTTATTTAATATTCATAGAAACATTTTGTTTTATTTTTATCTGTAGAATCATCCACCAAAGTTAGATACACTATTTTCTTGACACCCTGTATATACCTACGAAGCTACAGATCTATACAGCAGTGTACAGTGACGGAAGGAACGATTTTGACAAAAACACTTATGAAATGATAGAAAGAAAAAAAATAATTAGACAAATAAATAGCACTAGCGCATTCTGGCAAATTCATTTAATTAGTAAACAAAAGCTACAGAATTGCTACAGGCTTTTGTTGAATCCGTATCAAGTAGCATTTTACAAAAAAAATATATTATGTTTTGTAGCCTTCTATTTTATTGGATAAATACGTGTGTCTATTATAAACTTGCTCTGTCGCTCTTTCTTATCTTTATATTCGATTTAATAGTTTATAGAATTACAGAGAAAGGATAAAATTAGGACAACAATACTACAACAATGTTATGTCATTATGTAGTCATTATGTAGTCATAATACATAACTATTATAAGCAATATTATTTAAAAAAAAACAGTTTCAATATTTCATAATTAGATATAATTTAAATTTAATTACAATTAAATGACTATTTCTCTAACTTAAACCAATAATGTTTTATGTTTTATTTTTTAATTTCAGTTGATGCTCAGTTATGCAGTCATATTTGGTCCGTGTGTTACATGGCTGAGAGTTTAGTGCCACAAATGAGAAAAAGGGCAGAACCGTGTTCCAGACGATGTCCATCTGGGCCACGTCCTGGACTTGGTAGGATAGGTATTCCGATAATAATGGGACAAGACACACCTCTTACGTGAGTTGTTTAGGCTATTTATTTTTACTGTATATTTTTTCCTTAGGTATCCTTTACTAGAGAAAAGTATAGTAATTAAAATAGCATATAATTTATACAGGGTGTTCCAGAAATAAATGCAATTATTTTAAGGGGTGGTAGATCTCGATAAAAGAAACATATTTTCCCTTTATTGTTTTTTAAATAAGTCCAAAATAACGGAATTATTTGACTTTGAGAATTTCCAAAAAAAAATATTTTTTGCTAAAATTTTGATAACCACTGGATCTTTTCTGGATTTTCTTTCTTGTAAATTTAATTTACTACCTATGTTGCCATCTTACTAAGAAATTAGTTTTTTTAAATAAAAACTAAAAAAAATTCCAAAATTTTTTTCAAAAGATTCCGAATTTTCAAAATTTTTTTTATTCGCGAAAAAAACCTCATAGGTGTGTTTCTGGGGTTGAACTATACTACCAGTTAAAATATTTGCACTTATTTCTGGGACACCCTGTATAGGTATTTACTATACTCTACTATTTAAATATGCATATACTATTAATCTACCGTATGATCAAAAAAGACGGTCTCAAAGACGGCTGGAAAGACGACCGATGATAATTTTGGCGAGGTCAATCTCTAGACATAATTTATTAAAAATTGACATAAAACTTGGCACTAAAAATTGGCACTAATTATAGAAAGATTAAAAAGGATAGGACGTTTCCAGACACACAAATAATGTATTTCCAAAAAAATATTTTTTTTCCAATCTTAAACTACAACATTTAAAATAATTTTTACTCTGTATAAAATACATGACAACCTTTGGATAGTATGGTATTTTCTGTAAATGATTTTATTAGGAAACTTAGTTAATTTTACATTTTCTATATCTACATACCCCAAAATAATATTACGGGGGCTATAAAGAATAACTAAAACGGCGTCCAAAAAAGTTGCCTTGGAAATGATGATTGAAGACATCTTTCATATAATTTTACATAAAAGCAAAATGACAGCGATCCTTATTTTGAAACCATCTCTGACATCGTTTTTTTTTCAATTTTATTTTATCTACCATGAATAAATTATGAATATATATTATTATGAATAAAAGTTAAAGAATCATATTGAAATATAAAAATTAAATCAACCAAACCAAACCGCAAATTGCTCCGTCCACTCATTTTATTGGCTACTTGCAAATTTGTCGATTTTTTATTGATGGGACGAGTCGTCTAATTTTTTACGAAAAACATGGAGAGAATATCGTTTCCCCTCTCACGGATACCCCGTAGCTACAGAACGGATAGACGTACTGTACTGTAGTTGTGAAGACTATATTATCTTATCATTGATATGGTTTCTTTTCTGCAAACCTTAACTGTTTAACATTGAACTTATATTAGGCTTTTAAAAGCCTAAAAACAGATTTTAGAAATATTCTAGTTTCTAAAAAGATTCTATTTTGTGTTTTAGTGCCACTGGATCCTATTGTGTTTATGACAATTATACACCGTATTGTCCAAGAAAGGCTGGAGACATTGGTGATGTAAGATGTTGCCTGAAAGCGCCAGAAATTGAAAATGCTACGGGTTGATAATCCGCTTACGTGATAGCCGCCAATTTATTAATTATCGAATTGCAGTCTTTAATATGTGTAATTTATTTATTTATTTTTTAATATGCAAACTGGGAAGGGAAGTAAATCACAAAACAAAAGTCTATGTACTTACCCTAGAATTTTGTAAATGGACCAATTTACCGCCAGGGAAAGGTTTATTTATGTAATGTTTTCAATATATAGATATATTTTTAAGTGAAGGTGTCCAATAAATAGTCTAATTAATTCGACAATTAATTTAATACATTATTACCTTTCTACAATTATAAGAAAATATGGGCCGAAACCTTAGCCAAATAATAGAGAGTGAACTTGCATGAAAATAAATGCACTGTTCTTAACATTGGAGTGATTGTATGCACAAAACCTATCCCTAAATGAAACAATTTTAAGGCAGTAGAACAACTGGAGGATCGGGGAATATCAAATATTGCCAAGAAAGAAAATTATCTTCTTTACTTCATTAAAAGAGTAATTGAAGACATCTCTCTGTCCAAACCAAAGATAGATTATGGTCAAATATATAAAGTCCCTGTTTTCAGAATTTTATAAAAGTATAAATAGTTTATTACAAATATACTTAAGTTATGAAATTACCTGAAACTTAAGTGGAACTAATATGGAAACGAATATGTATTTGAATCCTACAAAAAGCACGAATCCGAGTAATGAGTTTGTAGTTTAACCTCTTTGGGGTAAAATCGATATATGAGAGTCGATTACTCGAATAAGTATTCGGTTTCAGATGTGCTCAAATCCATGGAAACCGTTTAACTACTGGTTAACCGAAAAAATTCGTTTTGGCTTGGTTTTGGTTGTCGATAATAATAGTTGTCGTACTTTAGTTCTAAGGTCATAGGAATTTTAAGTTCTCTAGATCAGTTCTTCCCCAAGTGTGTCGCAATGAGGTACAAGGGGATCGTTTAATACAAAAACACCAGTTTAATACAGAAAACACTTATAAATCATGTATACGCCGTAATGTTATGTCACTGTCACTGAAAAGTCATATTATTATTCTTTATTGACGTTTACTCTGGTAGAGATGCATGGTTTTAAGGGTTTTAAATGGGTTTTAAGCTTTGGTTTTAAGTATTGAAGTATGGGCGGTATATTTTTGCTTTGATTGATCATGGTAGAAATCAACTTTTGGACTTAAAACCATATCTGCTAGAGCAACTGTCCAAAATACAATAATAATGATTTTTCAAAGACAGCGACATTACATAAATCGTAATAGGTTTGTCGAATAGGACCAAAAGCAAGGGCGTGCAAAGAATATACCAAGAAAAGGGCATGGTTTTAATGTAAAAAATACGAAAAAATGTTAGTGTCTTCTTCAAAAGCGAATAAAAAGTATAGCTATTGAGATGAATCAAAAAACAAACTATCGAGAAAAGATAATCCTAGATGATTTTAATTTCTTTGCTTGAAATTAATTTTAATTTCTTTGCTTTGTTAACGTACTCCACAGGGTGTTTCAAATTTTCACCAAAATATCAATATTTTGTTTTCCCTCGTATAATTGACAGATGGCAATAATTTTCATTTTTAATTTAGAAAGAGACCCTAAAAAGTCAAATAATTTAGTTACAAATTGCTTAAAGAATTATCAAATTTTGTCTACCGTAAACTCCCCTAATTTTGTCCGGACACCTAACATTGACCAAAAGATCACTGACCGGTATAATGCACCACAGCATCACATACTTCTATAATGTTGGTCATTTCTGTATACAAATAGTTATTTTAATGACCCATAGATGTCGTTATGCCCCGTCAACACAAATCGGCTTGAAATTATACGTGTAGTTACCAGTAGTTACCGTTAAATATTTGGACGAGAAACACGTGAAAATTTTGAGTCCAAAAACTTTCCATTGTGGGTGAGAAACTAAAAAGACATAAGTCAAATCTTTCCTTGCGGTAAGTAGTCTAGTATGTTAGTAGTCTAATCCACCTTTTTTTATTTTGTTATTCTTTTGTTTATGATAATGGTGATTTTTATTTCTTAAACATAACCTTTTTTTTTTCTGTTCTCAACTTTGACCAGCGGTCAAAGTTACTTCCACGGTCAAAGTTATGATAACGTCAATCGAAAATCTGGTTCCCACTCTGATTTTTGTTTTATTTTTGGTTTTATAGACATGCCTAAAAGAAAATATCGGCGTTATGAGGACAGGGAAGATAAAGTATTGCTGGACAAAGTTTTGAGCATGATAAAATCAGGACGAATCTCAAGAACAAGAGCCGCCAATGAGTTTCATATTTCAAAAGGAACAATAATAAATAGGTTAAAAAGTCAGCACTGTGGTAAAATTGGGCGCCCGTTTGTTTTTTCAAAGGAAGAAGAAAATGCCATGGTAGCACACATTTTAAAAGTTAGTGAATGGGGATATCCTTTTTCCCGAGTTGATTTGCAACATTTAGCCAGCGAGTTTCTTAATAGAAAAGGTGTGAAGGTTCCTCAATTCCAAGAGGGTAATTTGCCAACGTTAAAATGGTGCACCAAATTCATAAGACGCCATGAAAATATGTTGTCATCTAGAATGTGTCAAAACCTGAAAACATCCAAAGCACAGGTTTCACCAGATACCATAAAGGCATATTTTGACGCTTTACAAATAACTTTAACGGAGAATAATGACTTTATTAGCCCTGATCGTATCTTTAACTACGATGAAACGAACCTCTCTGACGATCCTGGTACAAAGAAATATATTTTTAAAAAAGGCGTTAAGTACCCAGAGAGGATTCGAGACTCTACCAAATCTAGTGTCTCCATCATGTTTTGTGGATCGGCGGCCGGTAAAATAATACCACCATACGTTGTATACAAAGCTGAAAAAATATGGTTAACTTGGATGGAAGGAGGGCCGCCGAACACTCGTTACAATCGAAGTAAAAGTGGATGGTTCGATGCCACCATTTTTACTGACTGGTTTTTAAATCTCTTTGTGCCATATGTAAAAAAATATATAAACGGAAGAGTAGTATTATTGGGAGATAATCTTTCAAGTCATTTTACTCAGGAGGTTCTTAGTTCAGCTGAGAGGAACAATATAACGTTTGCTTGTTTGCCGAAAAACGCAACACATCTCACCCAGCCTCTAGATGTAGGTTTCTATGGTCCGTTAAAAAGAAGATGGAGAGAGATTTTAGACAATTGGAAGCAATCGCAAAAGAAAAATTCTCAAACGATTCAAAAAGATCACTTTCCACGTTTGTTAAAAAAATTAACAGAGGTCGTTGCGCCTAACAATTATTCACAAAACCTAATTTCAGGATTTAAAAAATGCGGAATTAGTCCTTTTAATTCTAAAGAAGTTTTAAACCGCCTACCCCAAGAAAACAATCACGACCAGAATTCTACTCCCGCATCGACTATGGTTTCCTCAATAGTAGTAGATATGTTAAAAAACATGAGATACGGCGATAATAGTGACGCCCCAAAAAAACGCAGATCTAAAGTTAATGTTCAGGCTGGAGCCAGCATTTCTGTAGAGGATTTATTGCTGAACAAGCCGCCTCAGGTTTCACTGCCTTCTTGTTCCACTGTCTCTACGAAGAAAAGACCTAAAAAGTCATCAAAGAAAAATGAGAGTGACGACCAATCTTCGGTTTCTGAAGAAGACATACATTATATGGATTCTTCAGAAGATGAAAATTGGGAGACTTATTGTGAAAAACAGTTAAAGGAACAAGAAAGAGAATGGTCGTCTGATGATGAGCAGCCTTTGGCAGAATTATCTAACGCAATCGAAAAAAATGAAACCCAGTTAAAACAAACAAGTGAATTCAAGGCATTAAGTAAAGAAAATGAAATGCAAATTGACGTTGAGGAATACCATAGAGATATTAATGAGTGTATAGAGGTTGATGATTACTTACTTGACAGTTTTAAGACTTCCTCAAAGTGTAACAGCAACAAATACTATGTTGGGAAGGTAGTTGCGAATGATCCGATTTTAGAATTATCATTTTTGCGAAACAAAAATTTAAAATTTTTCTGGCCCAACGTTGTGGATCACTCAATCATAGAAAAAAAACAGATCGTCTTAAAATTAAAAAAACCTCTTGAGAGAAAACGATATTTAGTTTTTGAAGAACTTCACAACAAGACTCAAAAGATAGAGTGATAGGTATTTTAAAAAAATAATCTTTTAGGTTAATTTTTTTAACTTTCTTTTCCTCATTGATTGTGTTACGGTTTAAACCAAAGAATTCCCTTTTAGTTAGTTTATTTAAGACGTAAGGCTAGGCGGGTTTTTTATTTGTTAAGTTTAAGTGCCTTTTTATTTAATAAAGAGGGAAATTTGTTTTGTTTGTAAGCGATATTTTATGAATAAAAATATTTTGTATTTTTTTCACTTTAAATCAGATTTTTGTATTTTTTATAGCTAACGCATTTTTTTAAAAACATTTTTAGCGGTCAATGTTACTCTGCTCGACGGCAAAATTGGCTTGTCATAGATTTTAGGTGGGTGGTCAAAGTTACCTTCTAACGTCGTAACTTTGACCACCAAGCATTTTTTTTTAAAAAATGGGACTATGTTCACGATATCGAAATAATAACTACATATGTCTATTAGCTTAAGTATAGCCCTAATATTGGCAATTTTGTTTAATTTTTATCGCTTAAGGTTAATAAGATTTTGCAAAATAAAGTTCAAAAGCGGTCAATGTTATGGGACTTTACGGTACTAGAATACAATATACAGGGTGGTCCGAACTGTATTCCGGAAACTTCGGCAGCATATTCTGCAGATAAAAATAAGTTAAAAAGTTCGTATAAATGTATGTTCTAAAATGCTTAGTTTCGGAGATACAGGGTGTAGAAGTTTCATTTTTATTTCGATTTTTTCCAAATAATTTATGAAGTAAAGTCAATATTTGGATGAAAATTGGTGTCTGGGAGTTTTTTGGCATGAGAAATTTGATTTCATGTCAATATGACTCCTACTTGTAGAGGGCGCCACCTACATATTTTTTAACTGGTTTGAAGAGTAATAACTTTTCGTCTATACCTGTATAAAACTACTAAGTAAAAAAATATACACTTACGACTTTTATTATATTAAAATGGTCTCTTGGTAAAAATCGCTAAGAGTAATGGTTCTCGAGATATTTGGAATCGAAATTATCAATACCTGTCATCATTGACGTAATTAAACGTATGTTGACTAAATAGTTATTAAACTGAAATCATAAATTTGAAATCTTTTTGTGCCAAAAGTTCAACAGAAATTGTTTAATCATCATTTTTTCACAGAAAAAATTATGATTAATTTAAAAAAATAAAAATTTATTATTTCAGTCAAATAGCTATCCTCAACGTGTGCTTATTTTTTGTCAATAATGACATGTATAGACTATTTCCATTCTAAATATCTTGAGAACGGTTACTCGTATAGATTTTTACCAAGAGACATTTTTTACGTGGAAAATCATGGAAATGTATATTTTTTCAGTCAGTAGTTTTATACCGGTACGGACGAAAAGTTATTACTCTTAAAAACAGTTAAAACACATGTAGGTGGCGCCCCCTACAAATAGGAGTCATTTTGACATCAAAATCAAATTTCTCGTGTCACAAAACTCCCAGACACCAATTTTCATCGAAATATTGACGTCACTTCAGAAATTATTTAGAAAAAATCGAAATAAAAATGAAATTTCTACACCCTGTATCTCCAAAATCAAGCATTTTAGGACATACATTTATACGAACTTTTTTTACTTATTTTTATCTGCAGAATATGCTGCCGAAGTTTCCGGAATACAGTTCGGACTACCCTGTATAAAACTTTAAAATACATGAAAATTTTAAGGTGCCCGTTCTTCGTGCAGGTGAGTGTATTTTTAGGGGAAATAATCACAGCGCTATTCATTAAAGTATTGAGCAAAGTAACATGTCTGCCGGCAAAAACTTGTTCGAAATTTTTAGCTAATTTTCTGACTTCACTGGAATGAATTCAGCTGCTTTTTGTCAAGACAAATAAATCAATTTTTCTTATAAACTCCTTAATTTTACCTGTGCGTGTAATTATATTAATGCTGTGACTTATGCAAATATGCAAATTACTGAAATAAAATGGTCGTGAGCAACATAAAGGGGTAGCGCTTAGGTTAGGTATGACAAATACTGATTTTTTTGCCGTTTCATAAAACACCACAATAAAGAAAACATCTTCTCCATTAATTACTTTTAATCTTTATCATAAATATCGTGAAATATCAGTTCATGTTTGTGAACTTCTCCGTAAAATATACCGCTGACATTCTTCGGCGTCGAATCTCCGTATGCAATTCTCCGTTCTTTACAGTTTTTCTTGGCGACATCGTGTACCGTTGAACATTCTGAGGCGATGTACGGCTTCGTTCTCATTAGCGAACTCGCAAAAATTTTCCACGACATGCCATGGCTACAAGCTTTGTAAAACTAAAAGAGATACATTTTCATAATATTACTATCAGAATCACCAAATTTACTTAATTCTATAAAAATACAATTACTTTTCTATAATAAGGAGACAATAGTATCGACTGACTAGTGAGAAACAAAAACATAGGAACTAGTAATAGCTACAACCCCACTAGTTCGCTAGTTCCTAGTTTTTTTTAACTTTTCTATATATACATATCTTTCTGGTATACATACCGGGTGGTGCATCGTCGTTGGAAACATAGAAAATCGCATGCAAAGTTTGAACTGTCCAAATTTAAAAATAGATGCAGTTTTTCTTAAATTAGTTAAAATCGACTTGTTTAAAATTGTTCAAATTTGGTATGTGTATTCAGTATACGCATACCTTTAAAAAACTTGTTGCGACTGTGCTGTAAAATTAACAAGAGAGCCAATATTTGGACATTGCAAAATACCTATCCGTGTATTCATGCAATAAGAAACCGTTACAATTGTTTTGTCTAGAGGTAGTAAATTTAGAAGGATAATGTGTCAGAAATTAAATTAGCAGAGATAATAATGCGAATAATTCAAAGTGACTGTAAAATAATTAGTGGTGTAGCGTGTGGTAGATCCATCGACATACTAGGATAGTAAGTTAATGGGTAGATCTGGGTCAAACATCGAGAGGGTAAGTGACTATAGCGGGTGAGTCTAAAATAAGTGCAAATATGTTTAGAGGTATTATATTTTGGTCCCAGTAAAAAGCCTGTGAGGAGTTTTTCTTAAAAATTTGGAATTTTTATCTTTTTTTGTTAATAATATGGCAAAATTAGGTAGTAGAATGTAGAATGTAGAATGTTTAGGAGGGGAGTTAGTCACCGCGACCTTAAAGATCTATTGTGTGTTCCCCTTCCTTGAATTATAACGAGTTATAACTCATCATACAGTCTCAAGTCTTTAACAAAAGCCAGTATCTGAGACGGCTCCACAGAGGCTAGCTCTCCGTCCTTGACATCAGCCGTATCAAAGTTCATGGCACGAATGGTCGTCGTCTCGGCGCACTCAGTGATGAGGTGTTCAGGTGTTTCCCCATATGCCCCACAGAATCTGCATTCGCCGTTGTTTCTCAGCTTCAGCCTACTGAGGTGTTCGTTGAGGAGACAGTGTCCTGTTAGAAATCCCGTGAGAATCCGAGGATTGTTTTTACTTAAATCAAGGAAAACCTTTGATTTTTCTCGGTCGTAGGTTCTGAGGAACTTTTTCGAGTGTCTTAGACCGTTGGAGGACACCCATTCCAAGTTACGGTTGGAGTCTTCCAGATTCTTCAGTTCCGCTTTCAGTTGGTTTCCGCTTGGAAAACAGAACGGTTCTGGTCCAGTTAGTGGAGTGTTCGCTCCTTTCCTAGCTAGATCATTTGCTTTTTCATTGCCTTCTAGGGTGAGCAGGCACCCAGAGTAGGAGGACTTTATTTTCTTTGCCCAACTTGTTGAGCTTCTCTAGGCATTCTTTGACCAACCTCGAATTGATGGTTACTGAGTTGATCGCATTTAGTGCTGCGTGACTATCGGGTAGGATGGCAATTTCCTGTTTTCGATAGTTCCTATCTAAGATAAATTGTACACATCTTTCGATAGCGTAAATTTCTGCCTGAAGGATACTGGGGTAGGTGCCCATTGGTTCGAAGTATTTGATTTTCGGCCCAAATACTCCTATCCCTGTCCCTGCTTTGGTTTTGGAAGCATCAGTATACCACGTTATGGTATGGTCTTTTATATGCTGAGTAAGCGTTTCTTCCTTCCCAATCCTTTTTATTACTCAATACTAGAGTGAGGTGTTTCTCAAAGTTGTAAATTCTTGGTATGTCATCCACTGGGAGTTGGAGAAGTGGAATTTTCTTTTTGAGGGTGTTCCAAGCCCCTGACCTAAAAATTCCCCCAGTACTGTTTCCGTCAATGACCATTCTAATCATTGTCGCATTGGCATAACTACCGACGACAATATGCAGTGGTGTTAGGTCTAAAATGACCTCCATTGCTGCTGTTGGACATGTTCTCATGGCACCTGTGATACAGATACATGCCAGTCTCTGTACTTTGCACAGGTTTTGCCTTGCTGTACGTTGCTCTAGTTTTGTATACCAAGCAACTGCTCCATATGTAATCATGGGTCTTACTATCATGGTATACATCCAGCGCAAAATTTTAGGGGCGCCCACCTATTTCCCGCCAGTCTTCTGCATATCATGAGAGCCTTTGTGGCTTTGCTGGTAATGTTCTTAATATGCCTGTTCCAGCGAAGTTTACTATCCAGGGTTGTTCCTAGATATTTCACTTCCTGTGATGGCAGTATTTCCTTTCCATCTAGATGGATTCTTTTCAAGTTTTTCAAACTTCGCTTTCTGGCGAATGGCACTACCGCAGTTTTATCTGAGTTGATACTCAGCCCGACAGTCCTGCACCATCTCTCAGTGATGCGGAGTCCTCTTTGGATAATATCACACAGGGTGCCTTCATGTTTCCCCCGTGCAATCATGAATATGTCATCTGCATACCCTATGCAGTGTATTCCCGCTAGAGTTAATTCTTCCAGTAGTTCATCCACTACTAAGCTCCACAGTAGGGGGGAGGTCACTCCACCTTGTGGAGTTCCTTGCGTTGTTTTAACAACTACAGTTTTGGTACCTATCTCAGCTTCTGTTGTTCATGTTGAGAGCATTTCCCAAAACCAGCGAATTATCGTATTGTTCACCCCTCTTGTTTCAAGAGATCGCTTGACCACCTTGTGAGGTATATTGTCAAGCGCCCCTGCAGTGTCCAAGAAGGCACAAAGTGCTGTTTCTTTGCTATCCAGGCTTGCCTGTATTAGCTCAGTTAACTGGTACAGAGCAGTTTCTGTGGATCTGCCCGCTCTATATGCATGCTGACTATCGTGTAGTGGTTTAACCTTTAGATGATTTACTCTAATATGGTTGTCCACTACTTTCTCCATCGTTTTTAATATGAACGATGTGAGACTAATAGGCCTAAATGATTTGGGGTTAGCCTAGTCAGTTTTGCCTATTTTGGGTATAAAGATTACTTTAGCTCTTCTCTAGATGGTTGGTATATATCCCATCGCTAAGCAGCTTCTTGTAATGTTTAATAGATGGAGTGTAGCTATTTCCTGACCCTTCTTTAGAAGGGCAGGAAAAATCCCATCTATTCCTGCTGTTTTATAAGGTTGAAAGGTGTCAATAGCTCATTTCAGTTTTTGTTCTGTTACTACTAGCTTCGCCATCTCTCAGTCTTCCCTGTGAGGATTTTGGGGTTCGGTCGGAGCTACTTGCGTATCAATAGATATGCTACCTGGAAAGTGTGTATGAAGTAGGAGGTTGGCTCTCTCTTCATCTCCTTCCGTGTAGCTTCCGTCAGGTTTCTTAAGTGCCATGTTGGGGATGGGCCCACTCTTGGCCATAGCTTTGTGTAGTCTAGCTGCATAATTAGTTGAAGTGATGTTTTCGCAAAAGGATCTGAAGTCAGACCGTTTTAAAAATTAGGTAGTAGATTAAATTAACAAGAAGCTCCTAGTCAGGTTTTACCAATTTTAGATATAAGTATAAGATTAATATAGAAACTTCTGAATTATACTATTTTCTTTGTTTGCGTCATTTGAATATTTTATAACTCTTTTGTTTTGTACACCCTAAGTGAATGATTTCAAGTTTGAAGTATTGATGGATGTTAAATGATGTTTAAAGATGTGAATCGCAAAACATATCGTAGATACAAGTACCTACATTGAGTATAGTTTATCTGAAGTCAGTTGGAATATATTGGGACTCGATTAATTTCGGCATTGTCTTTGTCGGCATCGTCCAGACAAGGGAATTAAAAGTCTCAGTACTTCCAATTGACTATAATAATAAGGATATAAAGGAATATACTAACTTGAATAACGTTGCAACCAGGTTGTGGAGGCACACCACCATTGGGATAAATGTCAACGTGACCTAAAGGATCCCAGTAGCCTAAAACACCTGCACAGGTGTGTATTACGTCCACAAAGAGAGCGTCACTCTTATTTAATTTTCCATATTCAACCAGACCTAGATTGAAGCCAGGCAAGGCTGGATCTAAAGCTAAACAAAATACATATTTACAGAGGTGTAGAACTTATTTCTAATGCTTCTGTTCTTTGTATAGAAAAAAAAACTACTCAATGCGCGTAATCTCCTGTGTAACCTAGTGAATTAGATATAGTCTAGAATCGAATTTTAGATTGATCCCAGATCCCATCGTTATCGATGCCAGATCCCTAAGTTATCCGGTATTTTCTTGACATCTACGTTACTTAAACAATACAAAATTATTTCACCTTCTTTTAAGTTCAAGATAAAAACCGAATCCCATGACCAAAATAAATGGGATCAAGATGGCATGGAAACGATGACAATTCCCATAAAATTTTACATATAAAATGACAGCGATCTTCGTTGCCAATCTATCAGCTCTGACGCCTTTTTTTGCATCGTATGGAATTTTAAATTAATTTTGACACTTAGGGGCCATTATTTTTTGACCCTCCATTAATACAAACAACATTGTTAACGCATTTTTAGCAAATATTGGGATTAGTTGAAAATTTACCTGTAATTCTTCCAATTTTTCCATATTTAACTTCTCTACCTGCAAAACCTGAAACGTGAGCTCCTAGACTATGACCTACTAAATGAATATTTTTTGGATCTGCCCCTAACTCTCCTATAATATAATTTAAATAAGTGCCATAATGTTTTCCGACATCTGTTGTGGCTCTCATTGGAAGAGGATAGAGAACATTGCTGGATATATCGCTCCAATCCATTACAAGAACATTTGCATCATATCTAAGAAAAAAGATAAGTACCTATTAAAAATCTTTTCTTAATGATATGTGTCTAGTTTTATTGTAAATCCTGATTTTCATAATGTTAATATAGCTTCTTCACTAAAACTTTTTAAAAACATCGGTAACGCAGTATCTGGAATATCAAGACGACTGTATTAAGGTCTACGTAGTGATATGCGAGACTGGCCAAACCAAAGACAAGTCTTGCTCAACACAGGTCTGATAAACAAAGAAAGGGAAGCTATTGAAACTGTAGTGGACTTACTAAAAGGCTATTGCAAGCTCAATAGATGTTTAAAGCTGACTGACGGAAGGAGCCATATGCAGATGTTGTCGGTCAGAAGAAGAAACGACAGAACACAGTTTATGTCAGTTACGAAACAGTGGTATTTTGTACTAGTCAATGATAAGCCTCTGGGAAAGAGTGAATTGGAAGGTTTAGTTATATTTTTGAAAGGGGTACGATTAGAGAATGTAACCTAGAATTCATATGAGGACCACAATAAACATGTAATCAGGGGCGGATACAGGAATTTATTTTAGGGGGGGGGGCCAAAATGAAAAGCAATGTAGAATATGCTTTTAAGGGCACCATTTTTAACCCAAAAGCCTAATATTTTACACAATTCACAGACTTTAGGGGGGGCCCGGGCCCCATTGGCCCTCCCCCTGTATCCGCCACTGCATGTAATAGTAGCGGTGAAAAAATTAGAAATCATAATAAACAATATGTTGCAAAGGGATGCTTGATTCTTAATATTACTATTATATTTGGAGATTTCAGCAAATTGTGGCTTTATTTCAGTTGCCGTAAAAAAACATGTATTCTAATGAAGTTAATGCAATGTAATAAAATATAACCGTTGATTGACGAAATAAGGAGATGCGCAACCGTATAGGCGATTTTGTGACACAAAACATGTCCGGATGTAGCTGGATTTACCGTTACATGTCGATCCGAGATTTAGTTTAGCTCTGCGCCGCTACGCCCTGATTGATGGGTTTATAGCGCAGCGGATAAATAATACTGTACCGTAGTTCTGCGTTCAGTCTACAGAGTGGGTGGTTGCCAGAACTACGGATTAGTTTGTAGATTTACGGATTTTGGATCGAGTACGCTGATACGGGGTTTCTATCATTAAACAATTTAATATAATATTATATGATTAAACAAAGAACGGCGACAGAGTTGGCTTGGAAATGAAGATCGCTGTTATCTCGTATGTAAAATATTATGATAAATGCGGTCGTTTCCAAGCCAACTAAACGATTTTTTTCGATCATACGAAATACTCAGTACCTATAAAAGAATGTTTATGTTTGTTGTTTTATTCTATATCCACATAAAAGCGGATTTTTTATCCAAGGATATTTTCGTCAAACCTATTACAGATATATTACCTACACATTTTAGTATGGCAACACTGTAGCTTTCAGTTCCACACCTTCATCGATATGTCTTCGCTAGCCGAATTAGAGAAAATGTGACTGTTTTATGCGTCGGCCGCAGAATGAGTAGAGGCTTCATCGTACAGCACTTGAGGTTGCATCTTCCCAGTTCTTTCAGTCAACGATATAACGTTGTTAATAATCCAAGAAGAATTTTATTAAGCATACATATAAAGTAAATAGTCCAATTCACTTTCACTTAATATTAGCACGGTGTATCTGTAGATTTAGCGAATTTTTTGCCTACACACCTATGCAGAAATCCGTCCTTGATTCTTAAACTTGTATCTTTATCTCCTCCAGATAACCATCCGTGAGTAATACATTTTATTGGTTTAGAAATATTGATGAGAAATTCTAAATCTCTCTTATCCTGAATTGTAATACCGTCTGGTGCATCTCTATAAAATATCATATAAGAAATGAAGTAATATAATAGGGGTTTGAAACTTTTAGTGTTGCAACAGTAAAATAAAACACTAATTTACCACAATACACCAAAACACTTTTCAGCAGATGACTAAAACCGAGAAAAGAAAGTTTTAATCATCTGCTGACCTGATGGTAATATGGTTAGCAAAACGCGCGTCCAGTGTTAAAATTATAGTGGTGTATTGTGATGAATTAGTGTTCTATTTTGCAGGAATGAAGTATTAGAAAATGTATAATTCTAAATATTTAAGAGAACTTTTACCTGGAATAATATTTAAATCTCATTTTTTCTTCTAACTTGCGTTCAGTTAGAAATAACCTGGATTCAATATCTGGCGCACCACTATTGTTTGGTGGTGAAAAATATGCTTTAACTGGTTCATTGTTTTCGTCTAAAAACAGTACAGAGTCGGTGTCGAATAATAACGAAGAATGGTCAAGTTCAGCGCTAAATGTAACTATTGACGAAAACCCTAAAATCAATTCGTTGAACAATTATTAATTTTATATAATATATATGGTGTTTCTATAACTCTTACCAAGAATCAAAAAGAACTTCGAAAACATAACGCCACGATGTAGGTAAAATTTTAACATTGCACTTTGAAAAAACTGTCAATCACGTTTTATACGTTAATGTATAAGTAACCTATTGTCACAAATCGGAAATATAATTTAAATTTACTTGTTTGCCCGATATTTTATGCAAAAATATTACTAAGTTTATACATATTCAAAGCGCTAATTTGTATCAGAACAGTCATACTCGCTTTTACTTCTAATGCGAAATTTTTGCAAATAGGCTCTATAATAAATTTTGATAATATTTAAATGTACTTAAAAAGGAAATCTTTTTAGGCTATCAAATTTAGCGATAGAACGCATTAATAGTCTAGTATAAGTAAGAGATAACCAGTAACCTGCCGAAATTTAAGGTGCATAAATGCATTTTTATTGGGTTTCCTATTGAGCAAGCAAAACATTAACGACTCTTGTATTAATAGTATTTATTTCCCCCTTAACCTAATAAATTTTTTAACAAATATTGTAATTATCATCCAAATCTGTTTCTCTCATTTATTATACCGTATGATCGAAAAAAAACGGCGTCCATTTGATTTGGAAATGACGCGGTAGATGACATTCCCCATATAATTTTACATATAAAATGAACGCGACCTTCATTTCATAGTCATAGCTGACGCCGTTTTTTTTTTGATCATATCGTATATTATAGAGCATATTTTCTCTATCCATATATGAATTTTTATTTGTATTTTTGTATTTTTATACACTGAATTAATGTTTTTAAAGTTACTATTTCAGTATATTAGAGATGTCCTAAAATGTTATTTTGTCTGGTTGTATTAGACTTGTCGTACTAAAGATTCTTCTGAAATCAACTCTTGTAAATGGACATACAGATTCTCAACCATTAGCTGGTATTAGATCACCGAGCTGATGGTAGAACACCTTATCCATAGACCTTACCACTGAGTGCGCCGGGACGACGTGCGGCTGATGTCGAACATGGATATAGCTGGCCTCTATAGAGCCGTCTCAGATACTGGCGTTTGTCAAACCATTGAGACTGCATGATGAGTTATAACCATATACGTATAAATAAATACACTCAGACTAATATCTAAAAAGTGATGCACAAATAGTGAAAGAGAAATATGGAATTCTATATAAGTCTATCTCACCAGGATATTCATTTAATTGCGTATAATATGCCTTACTTGAAGAAGTTTTCATTGGTCGGTGTTTTTAAAGGGAAGTGGTTGACTGACATTTCACCTAACCTTCAATTTTATTTATATTTTTATTATTTATAACACATTATCATGGAGTTGGAAAAATATCAAAAAATTGTTGGAAACAATAAACTAAACAAAATCACTCTTTTACGCGCACAAATAAAAAGTAATCCAAACGGAACTGAAACAACAATCAATCGGAGTTTGGCGCAATCTCAGTTCATTTGATATCCGGGTGAAATAGACTAAAGGTTGATTCTCGCATACCTTCCATATCAGCTCCCTTCCGTTTCCCTCCCGTTTACATAAAATATTATATCATGTAAATGAATAGGACAATGCACACTATCCGTTCCGTTTCCCTTCCGTTCCATATCCTTTCCTTCCATACATTTTTTTTGGTGGACGGACTGAAGCGTATGGGAAACAGTGTTGTCAAGTTCTTACATTTGTACCAGGTCTGTTATCATTTTGATGATATTTATTTATTCTTTCACCTCTTAATTAAATCTATTACCTTTTTCAAAAGATACAAATTTTTAAAATAAACCTTTCGTAATGATATAAATTGTACATTAAAAAATATGGAACTGATACGGAACGGAAGCTTACGTATAGCGTCAATACAATAAAAAATACGGAACGGATATGGAATGGATATAGAATGGAAACGGAAGGTATAGTGAGAATCAAGCTTTAATATGGAGCTGGGTTATGTTGTTTTTTTTCTTATGGCACGGAAAAAGCACACAGGGTTAAATAGGGAACACTGAGTATATATTTTTCAAAATTAAATTAATTTTAGCAAAAAATATTTTTGCTAAAATTTTGCAAACCACTGGATCTTTTCTGGATTTTTTTCTTGTAAATTTAATCTAATACCTATGTTGCCATATTATCGAGAAATTATATTTTTAACTAAAAGCTAAAAAAAGTTCCAATAATTTTTTCAAAAAATTTCGAATTTTCAAATTTTTTTTTGCGAAAAAAATCTCATAGGCGTGTTTCTAGGGTTGAACCAGTTTGGTCTACCAGTTAAAATACTTGCACTTATTTCTGGGATACCCTGTACAGTACCATAATAATATACATATACATACTCATCTTTAAAAAAGTCTGGGTTTATTGTCACCGGAAAACAAGTTTACAATATAAAAAAGATACTTTTTGTAAACACCATTGGAACAACGGAAACCAACTTGTGAGTGGATCAACCCATCATCTACTCATTGGTCAAAGAATGTCTAGAGAAGATGAACAAATTAGGCAGAGAAAATAAAGTCATCTTCCTACTCTGAGTGCCAGCTCACCAAGATAGAGAAGGCAATGAAAAAGCAAACGATCTAGCTAGAAACGAAGCAAACCAAACACTCCACTAACTGGACCAGAATCGTTGTGCTTTCCAAGTGGAAACCAACGTAAAGCGGAACTCAAGAATCTGGTAGACTCCATCGGTAACCTGGAATGAGAATCCTCCAAGAGTCTAAGACGTCCAAAGAAATTTCTCAGAAATTTTTCAAAGCAATTTCTCAGAACTGACGACTGAGAAAAATCAAAGATTTTCCTTTACTTAAGTACTAGCGTGTACCAGCGACTTCCTTCGCGTCGAATTAATCATTTGTAATGGTGATGATAAAGCAAAGCAAGAATTTCCATTAACACACAAACTGGATAAAATTTTCTCACATTTATGTCAGCATGAGAAAAAACAATAAGGCGATATTATTATATAACTTGGTAATATTTGTGGGGTAGTTTCATCTCGTTGGAATTTGACTTTCGAAAAATCCGTTTGCCAAAAATAAGCTTTTTAGGTCAAGCAGTTTAAGTAGAATCGTGGTTAAGAAATTACCCAACTTTTTGGAACACCCTGTATGATTTTTAAAAAAAAATCAAAATATGTAAAAAACCAAATAAATTATGCTTGTCTAAGCGTTTTCCCGAAAGACTAACCGTTTTTTAAATAACAAATATTGTAATATTTGAGGAGCGTTTTCACCCTCTTGGAATTTGAGATTCGAGAAACCCCTCCTTATCGAACCTCTACACCTCACAGTCAATCCGTTTGCCAAAAATCAGCTTTAAACGTCAAGCAGTTTAAGCAGAATCGTGATTACTCAATGGTCATATTTTATAAAACACCCTGTATAAATTTATAAAAAATCTTAAAATATGTAAAACAACAAAATAAAATATACGTGTTTAAGAGTTTTTCCGAAAAACTCACCGGTTTTTAAATAAAAAATATTTTAATATTTGAGGGATAGTTTCACGCCCTTAGAATTCGAGTTTCAAAAAATTCCTTCTTATCGAACCTTTACACCCTAAAGTTAATCTGTTTTCCAAAAATCAGCTTTTTACGTCAAGCGCTTTAAGCAGGATCGTGATTAATCAATGACCAGATTTTTCAAAACACCCTGTATACATTTTTAAAAAATCTTAAAATATGTAAAAAAACAAAATACAATATACGTGTTTAAGCATTTTTTCGAAAACTTGACCGTTTTTTAGATAAAAAATATTGTAATATTTGAGGGGTGGTTTCACCCTCTTGGAACTAGAATTTCGAAGAATCCCTTCTAATCGAACCTCTACACCCTAGAATCAACCTGTATGCCAAAATTGAGCTTCTTACGTTGAGTGGTTTGAGCAGGATCGTGATTAATCAGTATGTCAGTCACTTAAGGATTTTATATATTAGTATAGATAAGAAAAATCTTCGGGTTGTCACGGTATTTGTAACTGGACAGTCTGTCTTCTCAACTAACTCAGTAGATTGAAGCTAAGAAACAACTGCGAATGCTGGTTTTGTGGGGAAACATCAGACCACCTCATCACAAAGTGCGCCGAGACAACAATCATTTGTGCTATAAACTTTGGTCTAACCTCTGTGCGAAATTTCTCTATCAGATACTGGCTTTTGTCAAACCTTGGGACTGTATGATGAGTAAGGTTCGACTGAACCCGGATTTTTAGTCTCGGCCAAGACCGAGACACGATGTAATATTTATTCAATAGTTTATTATATAAAAAAAAATCGATAATAATGTAATAATAACGTTATTTTCATGTAGAGACGGTTTTATTGGGATTTAATACTATAAAATGACAAATAGGTACTAATGAAAATATTATTATATTATAGGCTAAAAAAGTAATTTTTCAGCATTACATCCTTTCAAATTATGTAGCGTTTCATCATATTCTTTCTAAATAGTTGTTTGCTAAAGACGCTTGTTGGTCGTGCAGACTAGAAATCTATAAGCTGCTGTTTCAGACCTCTGTATGGAGGTGAATAATTACACACAAAAAATCTACTGATTAGTAGGATATACGAGTAATTCATATAAAAGCACAATTCTGTTAAATTTATAAAACTTACATTAATAAGACACTAATATTAATATCCTTGTATATGAATTTTTATATAAACAAGGCTAATATCTAACACTTGGTTTATTGTTTACGCACAGAAATACGAAGGCGATTCTTCAGCCATCCGCCAAATCCCCTTCGTGATTCGAGTCGGACGAGTATTTCATTCATCCACGCATCGATAGGTGGAGCGATACCGCTAAAAAATAAGCTAATTTGACGATCGTGAGTAGTTTCGGCCGTGGCCGATAATCTCGGCCTTTTTATACCGAGAACGAGACCGAGATCTCGGCCTGATTTTTAGCCGAGAATGACTGTAACCGAGACCGAGATCTCGGTCGAACCATAATGACGAGTTATAACACTTTACAAGTCAAGAAAGTCTGTCCCACACAATGTATCTGGAAGGTCGCAGTGATTAAGAGAGAAAAAAAAGATATTAAAAATTTTTCTAACTACAACACTTGTTTATATATTATACATAATCAAGGCTACAACTATTCAAGAACACGTTAGTTTATAGTAGATACGTCTATTATAAACCGTT